ATTTCTTGGCATATGGTTCATAATATTTTCTTATAATCCTTTGTATTTCTTTGGTCAGTTGTTCTCCTCTTGCATTTTTTATTTTATTTAGTTGGGTCCTCTCTGTTGTTGTTTTTTTGTTGTTTTTTCTTGATGAGTCTGGTTAAAGGTTTGTCCTTCTTATTTTTTCAAAGAATGAGCTCTTGATTTCATTGATCTTTTGTAGTGTTTTTTAGACTCTAATTCATTTATTTCTGCTCTGATCTTTATTATTTCCTTTCTTCTACTTACTTTGGGTTTTGTTTGTTGTTGCTGTTTTCTAGTTCCTTTAAGTGTAAGGTTAGATTGTTTATTTGAGATTTTTCCTTGTTTCTTGAGGTGGGCCTGTAATGTTATAAATTTCCCTCTTAGGACTGCTTTCACTGTGTCCTGTAGATTTTGGGTTGTGTTCTCATTTTCATTTGTTTCAAGGTATCTTTTGATTTCTTCCTTGATCTCATTGTTAATCCATTCATTGTTTTGTAACGTGTTCTTTAGCCTCCATGTGTCTGTATTTTTCAGGTTTTTTGTGTGGTTGATTTCTAGTTTCATGTTATTGTGGTCAGAGAAGATGCTTGATATAATTTCAGTCTTCTTAAATGTATTGAGACTTGTTTTGTGTCCTAACCTGTGGTCTATCCTAGAAAATGTTCCATGTGCACTTGAAAAGAACGTATATTCTGCTGCTTTGGGGTAAAATGCTCTCAAGATAACAACTGGGAGGGGAGGGCTCACCAAAGGAGCAGTGGCCCCTCTCAGCTCTTCTTTCTGGGAGAAAGGTGCCCCTCCATCTCTCGCCCCGCTTTCAGGCAGGGAACATCATTAAGAGGTACTTTGTGGCAAACCCATTAATGAGGCTAATTCTTCCATGAACAGATTTTTAGTCCTTTTATTTGGCTTCCTGGATCATTCTTCCCTGGGGGAAATTTCAAAGGAATTTGTAATCATTGTGGTCATATTCATCCTCCGGGGTAATGTGCAAGAGTTCTCAAGGGAAGTCTTGGCAAAGGTGCCCGAAGAGGACCTATGGAGGTGTCCTCACATGATGAGTCAATGTGAAGAGCATTACCAGCTAAGGGGGCCTGAGACCTTGACCGTAACTCTCTTCAGAGATTGTGATGCACTGGCTGTGCCCCAAATCTGATGTGGGGAGGTCAACTTTCCCTCATGAATCTGGTCAGGTCTTGTTGTTACTGACTTTGCAGCAGTATTTGAAGTTTTTCCCCTCCTTTCCTGAGGGTGATGTGTTCCAGACCCCACAGTGGATGCCTGAAGCTGTGGGTTGTACCGAACTTTCACCTCTTCACTTAAAGGTGGCACTTTATGGCTTCTCTGGCATATTTGAATCGCCAGCATCACTACTCTTGTACTTTGAGCCCATTATTATGTAAAATAATGGTTACTTGAACACAAGCACTGTGTTTCTGTGACAGTTGATCTGATAACAATGATTGCTATTAAGTGGCTAAAATGGGCCAGAGGGTGTATAGGACCTCTATACCCTGAGCCAAGGGTTGATTTGAATCCCTGGTGAGATGGAGCAGGAGGGTGGGAGGTTTCATCACCCTACTCAGAATACTTTGCAAGTTAAGTCTGGCCGGGCGTAGCTCAGCGGTTGAGCATCGACTTAGGATCCAGGTGGTCAGGGTTCGATTCCCGGTCAGGGCACATGCCCGGGTTGTGGGCTCAATCAATGATCTTCTCATCATTGATGTTTTTATCTCTCTCTCCCTCTCCTTTCCTCCCTCTGAAATCAATAAAGATATATTAAAATATATATATATATTGTGCAATTTAAAACTTTTGAATTATCTCTGGAATTTTCCACTTCATATTTTCAGACTGTAGCCCTTGCTGGTGTGGCTCAGTTGGTTGTAGTGTTACCCTGCTCACCAGGGGGCCTGGGGTTCAATTCCTGGTCAGGGCACATGCACAGGTTGTGGATTTGATCCCCCGTCTGAGTACATTCAGGAAGAAACTGATGTTTTTCTCTCTCCCATGGATGTTTTTCTCTCTCTCTCCCCCTCCCTTCCTCTTTCTCTAAAATCAATAAAAAACATATTCTCAGGAGAGGATTAAAAATAAAAATAATATTTTCAGACTATGATTGACCCTGTGTGACCGAAACCATAGAAACCAAAACTTTGGTTAAGGGGATCTATTGTATGGAATTTTTTCCCATACCAACAACCAATTATCTGATTCTTGACACCAACTGAGTGTTCTATGATTCAATTTAATTGACAACACCTAGAGTTAACATTTCACAAGACCTTTTTTTTTTTTTTTTAAAGAAATCTTTATTGATTTCAGAGAGAGGAAAGGAGAGGGGGGAGAGAGAGAGAGAGAAACATCAATGATGAGAGAGTCATTGATCTACTGCCTCCTGCACCCCCCGACTGGGGATCGAGCCAGCAACCCCAGCATGTGCCCTGACCAGAAATCGAACCCTGATCACCTGGATCCTAGGTTGACGCTCAACCACTGAGCCACACCCGGCCTCACAAGACTTTTTCCACTTCAGATGCCAGCCCTAGTGATCATCCATACTTCCGACTGACTGGCAATAAATCAGGAATTCTCCTGACCACATCCTGAGGTTTGACAATTTGCTAAGACAGCTACCACAACACACTTTACTTACATTTACCAGCTTTTTATAAAAAATACAATTCAGGAATAGCTAAATGGAAAAAAAGTGCATAGGGTAAGGTATTGGGCTGAGTGGTGTGTAGCTTCCATGCCTTCTTGGGGTGCACTACCCTCTCAATACTTTGATTTGTTCACCAACCTAGAAGCTTCCTGAATCTCCTGATTCAAGGGTTTTCATACAGAGCAATCTTCAGCCCTCCCCACCCCAGGTCAGTGACTGGGGCTGAAAGTTCCAACTGTCTAATCACTTGGTTTTTTTGGTAATGTGCCCAATCCTGTGACTCTCTAAGAGCCCCACTCTAAGTCACTTCATTAACGTAAACTCAGTTGTCATCAAAAAGGCCTCATTGTGAATAACAAAAGAAACTCCTATCGCTCAGTAAATTCTAAGAATTTTAGGAGCCTTGTGTCAGGAACTGTGGATAAAGACCAAATATATTTTATTATACCATACATCTATAGACATTTGTTTTTGTATTTAGTCACTGGTGGGCCATAAGGTGGATTCCATTCTCTCTGTTACCAACAGTCTCAGGGTATACCAAGTCTAGCTGCCACCCACTGGAATCAGGAGGGTGAGGGCTGCTAGGAGCCCGGAGATTGGGGCTAGCAGATCTCCAGGGAGGGGGAAGAGCCAGTCAAGTTCATGGAAAAGTTGGGAGAATGGCCTCTGCCCCAAAGCTACACAACTCAGTCACTGACATACCAAGTCTGCCCAGATCTCTACACCCTGGCCTAGGCAACTGACTCCTCAGCAGGTCTCAACCTCTGAAGGGTGGGGCTACAGGGAGTACTGAGGGTGGGGCTATTTCATTCCCCCAGGCTGATGCCTTATGGAGGGGAGTGCTCCATCCAAGAGAGATGGTGTCTGCAGTGCATGAATGATTCAGCACAGGTATGCTGGTGGCTGTCCCTTCAGCTTTTTACCCAGAGCCACAAACCCAACTCTCCTCATGCGACTCTAGTCTGCTCTGCCCTCCTTCTGCTGGAGCCCAGGGTGAGTGGCTATGAACGAGATTTTGTGCATTGGTCCTTTAAGAGGGCACCTGTGTCTCTAGCAGACTTCCATCTCTTTCTGATGGACAGAATGTCAGTTTTTGTGAAAAACTAATTTTCACAGCCAGAGTTATATAGGTACCTCTTCCCAGCTCTGGTGCTTGGGCTGGGGTGCCCACCTTGGGGTTGAGACTTTTCAGGGGGAACTTTTGCAGCTGAGATATCCCTTCTGAATCTCAGCTGCTGCAATCCTGAAGGGAAGTGAGGCCAGCCCTTTTCATTTTTAGAAAGATATTTTATTGATTTTTAGAGAGAGAGATTGGGAGAGAAACATCAACATGAGAACATAACATCAATCAGCTGACTCCTGCATGCCCCCTACTGGGGATCGAGCCCACAATCCAGGAATGTGCCTTGCCAGGGAATCGAACCAGCAACCTTTTGGTGCACAGGACAACACCCAGCCAACTGAGCCACACTGGCCCAGGCCGGACAGCCCCTTTCCCGTCTCCACCCTTCCTACCAGTTTCAACGTGGCTTCTTCTGTAAATCTGTGGTTATAAGACTTCTCTTCAGCTAGTCTTCAGTTGGTTATTCATGCTGATTGCTCTGTACATTAGTTGTGATTCTAGCTTGGTCCCAGGAGGAGGTGAGTGTAACATCCACCTTTACTCTGCCACCACCTTGGATCTCCCGAAATCTAGCATTTTAAAAATTAAGACCGTTGCCTCCCTCTGTTCACTAACCCTAAACTAATCACAACCTTTTCTCAATCCTTACCAGTTCCCCACTTTGAAAGACCCATCTTAAACCAACTGAGCTCTTATCCCAAATTCCTGAAGATAACTTACCCAAATATTCCCCTTTTGAGTCATTACCAATACTCTGTCAAGCTATAGGTTTAATAACTCAGCTCTGTTTGATCGACAGGTTTCTGTGGTGATCTTTGTGGGGAGTCAAAATTGATATTCATACCTTTTAAAATATAAATGAAAATATTTATAGATAAAATGATATAATTTCTTAGCTATACTACAAAATTAATTTTTAAAACACAGAGAAAGTAGATAAGGGTAGCAAAATTGGTCCTAAAGTTTTAAGGATGGGAGTTCATTATAATATTATGTCTGCTTTTTAAGTTTAAAATTCTCTATAATAATAAAAGTTATTTTTCTTTTTCTAGTCCTTAAGAGGAATGTTCATTAAGATCACATTAAAGTTACACTAACTAACCATGAATACCAGACTCATATCCAGAGTGCATCTAGCCAAGTGCAACCTAAGTTATACTGAATTTTGCTCCTGATGAAAGGCAGGGAAGAGCAGACTGGTTATAGATTTGAGAGAAATGCTTCTTTTTAATGCCCTCCTACAACACCCCTAATGTATAACTAATAGATGTAATCAACTTAAATTTGACATTTAAATCTTGGTTAAGAGTGGGTAGAGAACATTTTCTGTGCTTTATTTATTCAGAGAGTGAAACTGCTGTAGTCTGCAAAATTCTTAGTAGTGCTTAGAATGTGCTCCCTTCTATATTCTATTCTGGAAAAATGAAGCTTCTTATTCTTTCTTAGAATCTTGGACTCTGAAATGGGCAGTTATTATTATTACACACACACACAGTGTGGTGCCCAACTTGAGGTTTTGAATAGCTACTCATATAAGTTGATTTTTCTGTGCATTTGTATCGAGGAGGATCCAGCTCAGGTTGATGTCCTGGGAACCAGTGAGGCTCTCGCTTAAATCCTGAGGGAAGAGAAAAGAGGAAAGACAAGTGGAATCAGTCAATAGCAAGGAGTCTTAGTAACCAATTTCACTTTCACTTTTGAGGGAATAAAAAGTGAGTCCTGTAAAATTCAGAAAAGAGAAATTTTTCATTCATTCATTCATTCATTCATTTATTCATTCATTCACTTATTCAGTCATTCAGTTTACTTTTATTTGAGTTCCTTCTATATTCCAGGCCTTGGATTAGGTCCTGAGAATTTAAGAATTAAAAAGAATACTCCACCTACTATGGGTTGAAAGTGGCATTTTTTTATTGTAGCTTGTATCATATGTTGTTTCAAAGTAGTGTCCAAACTGGAAAGAAAAATAGATTAAAAATATAGGAGTCTATAACCAATATTCAGAAATAAAGGACAGAGTGATATGAATTCTAATAGGCTTTGTCATATTTTAGATTAACTAGAGGTCTATATGTCATTGCTCTAGATCCTACTAACTTTCATAAACTTTGCACATTTGCTTGCAGAGAGCTACAAGGGCAAGGACCAGGGGAAAACCCAGCCTGAGTCAGAAGACATTATATATTTCTGTAGATTAATAAAGTTCAAACAAAAGCAACAGAAAGAGTACTACCCATCTTTTTATTACCTTACAATAATATTCAACTTGATAGTAAAGTGGGTAGGTATTCTAGTTAAGAACTGCGGCCCTCCCCCAACCACTTCACTGAATGCATGAGAAATTTCAGCATTAGAAGTTATCAGATTCTTGCCTCTCAAAGGGCCACTGGTATTTCTTTTGCTAACAGAAGGAAACAAAGAAAGAGAAAGTTAGCTTACCTGGGAAGGCAAGGGTTTGGGCTGCATGATATTCCTTAGGTCATATCTTTCCTGGTTCCAGTTGCCCATCAGGGTACGGTTTGAATAGGCATTCTCATTAGTGGTGCATCTCCATCCGTACTGGAAAAACTTGGACATATCATTCCAATCTGTCCACACTTCAGCATGGCCATCTGCATTAATGAGGCTGCCATAGTGAGGGTTTGAAAGGAAATCGGTGAGGTACTCTCTCTGGGAAAAGATGAGAATAGAAAAGCTTGTGACACAAATCAGAGAGCAGAAAAGGCATCCCTTTTTTACTCTTGGCCAAGCATAATATCAGCACACCTTACTGAGTCTAGGCTTTCATCCCAATTTAATTGCTGTCTTTCCGTTTCTTTTTCTCCAGGTCCACAAGTCCCCTGGCCTATCCTCTCAATCAGCAGTAATGGATGACTATATAGATTAAATGCTCCCCCTCAGGAAGACAGAAAAACTTTAATACCCCCAATACTATATACTAGCTAAATGTTCAAGTAATTTTGAGATGTGGGAATTTAACGACTAAGAGTATTGCCTGGCTGGTGTGGCTCAGTTGGTTGGAGCATCGTCCTATACATCAAAAGAGAGCAGGCTCAATTCCCAGTCAGGGCACATACCCAGGTTGGGGGTTCGATCCCTGGTTGGGGTGCACGCAGGAGGCAACCATTCAATGTTTCTCTTTCACATTGATGTTTCTCTCTCTCTCTCTCTCTCTTCTTTCCTCTCTCTAAAAATCAGTTTAAAAAATTAAAAAAAAGGATTAAGAGTACTGCTATAGTCAAAGAGAATAGGGAGAAGCAAGAATTGGAAAACTAGATAAATGATCAATAAATGATAGTTTCCTTCATTCTAGGCCCAGTTCAAGTGCCGCTTATTCCATATGATTTCCCTTGTTAACTTCTTGTTTGTCACATAGTACTTCGTGTTCATATCTTTCTATATTTATAATTTCTACAATGTGTCAAGAGTTCTTGAAGTATGTGTCCAATCCCCTGTACTGGACTGTAGATCTCTGAAGACAGAATCTGTGTCTTAATTATCACACCCTCTCCTCCTGTCTGCCCTCTCAATCAACAGTTCTTTGAACATATCAAATGACCAATGTCTGAATTTCAATTTTTGTAAGAAATCAAAGGCCTACCCTTTTTTTTTTTTTTTTT